TCTTTCTTTCTTTCTTTCTTTCTTTCTTTCTTTCTGTTGTCAGCACCAATATGGACTGCAGGAGAAAGTGCAGGGTAAGAGAAATAAATGAGCTCATTCCCTGTGTAAAATGTGCCCTGGAGGGGTCAGTATTGCATTTTCCCACGTATTTGTAAACAGCTTACACAAGGGCTTGTTTAATAATTATTCATCTGTGCCAAAAGGTTTAGCATGTCATACTCTTAAAAATAGACAAATGGTCTCCTAATTCCCAGAATATTTGACTGGATAAACCCAAATGTCCCTTTAAAACTACAGTACTTTATATAATATGCGGATGCATGAATCCACTTCAGTACAATAAATAGGAGTGCCAATTAAACAATCTGGTTGACTTGATCTCATCCACGCTATGCAAGTTAATACTCTTTATGTTATGCGAATGGACCTTGCAGAACCACTTTTGATGAGTGCAATAAAGCTTGGGAAGGACTTTAGGAATAAGGTAAAGCAGAGTTGGCAATAAGCAAGTGGTCATGTGCAAGGACATATGAAGTGACCTCATGCAATGGTTCAATTCTCTATAGATAAAAATGCCTCAATGCTAAATATATACTGTATACATATACAGTATATATATATATATATTTATATATCCAGCCTCAGTAACTAAATCTGTGTTGTCTGGCGTCTCTAAACCCATTTATGTTTCTATTAACTTTCGCAATAAAACTTAGTCAGGACTTTATTTCTTAACATAAAGGCCAGACTGACAAATTTCTTTACACCCAAGGTAAAAGGTAAATACAATGGATCTCTTGCTCTCTCTATCATGCTGTTAATGTCACATCATGATCTCTGCTAGTCATGCTTTTGATGAAATATGACTTTCCTTTTCTTCATTGTCAGATATATTGTTACTGGGAATCACCGAATTTCCCAGAGGAACCCACCCAAGGGATTAATAAAGTTTTATCTTATCTCCTCTTATCTTATCTCAACAATTGTATCTCAGCTTTAAAACTTGTTACCCTGAGCTCAGGGACCTGGATGCTGAATGCCAACAAGTAGCCTGTTAATCTTGGGAATCTAATCAGATCCAGTCAACATGACTGGCGGTTTGAGAAACACCTCAGCAACCCTGATTTTATCTGCTTTGTTGTTTAACTGCAGCCTTCGGGTAAATTTATCATCAACACTATGTTTCATACAACCAGCTCTATCTTATACATTTGAAAAGTTGGTTAATCATCACCAGTAGAGACGCCAGACAACATTACAGCTCAAAGGTAACATTACACTGGATTACATTAGTCTTCCTGTCCATAACCTATTCACTGTCTATCCTTCCACCCCCCCCCCCACTCCCAGCGCCCTCTTATCGGTCAAGGCCTATGAGGAGCTTGGTCTTCTCTTCCTCTTTCTTGCTCTCATTTTTCAGATCAGCAAACACCTGGGTAAAGAAGTGTGGGTCGGTGTTGATCTGGAGCATCTTGCCACTCATGCGGTTGATGATGTCCAGGCAGCGGTCCCAGAAGGCTTCTTTCTCTGCTTCCACCAGGAAGGGCTTCAGTGGGTAGGAGATCTCGTTGCCCATGTAGGAGTAGGACAGGTAGAGGCAGGTAAGCAGTGAGGCCTGCAGCTCGCGCTCTGAGGCCACCTCAGCTGAGACCACGTCGCGGCACAGCATGTAGAGGAAGACCACGTTGGCTGGAGTAATGAAGCCCTGATCCTGCCAGCCCTGAAGAAGGAGGGAGCGGTCCACACTGCGCAGCCAAAGCACTGGATCTGTCGGGGATAGACGCTTTAATCTGTAACACCGACGGCACAGGAACTCACCCAGGCTGCGCATAAGTTCACTCGTGGATGCCTGTGTTTAGGAGGGAAGGAGAGAAGACTTGATCAAATTATGCATGCGTGAGTTTTTAGTTTTCCTTTTGCTATAGAGTGAAGGTTACCTGAACAATGACACGTTTTGGCGTTCCAGCTGCAGTGGAAGGCTGGATCCCAGAACCTGTGAGGGAATTCTTTTTGGCAACGACAGTAGCTACGTTAGCCAAGGTTTTGGAGGCGGGCAGGTGGGAGGAGGTAGTGGTAGTGGTGGCTGCTGGATCCTGGCTGGATGAATAGGATGAGAGGTTAGCACAGGACTGAGACTTCTTGAGCTTCAGGCTATTGGAGGCTGAGTTGGTGGTGGCGGCTGCATGACCATCCGGAGAGCTTCCTTTCCCCCCATCCCCGCTGTCTGACTGTAATTTCTTGGACCCCTTCCTCTTCGCTGATACAGCCACTATACGTTTCCATGGGAGCACACTGATGATTGAGGGACGTTTTAGGGACTTTGCTGCTGCAGCAGCGGCATCCTTGGCATTCTTGCTGTTCTGGACGGCGGTGTAGTGGCCCACCGTGGCCGGCCCATCCTCAAACAAGGCTGCCTTGCGGTAGCTAGGAGACAGCGACAACACTGTACCCATGATGTCTGGTTAGAGTTAGCAGCAGAAACAGGGTACAGTGGAAAGTAGTGGGGGAAAGCTCTTTGACTAGTCTAGACAAAAAGCTTGGAAAGGGTCAGCGTCTCACTTCTGGAGGAGTTTGAACCTGTGAACAAACAACAGAAGAAAAAGCAGCAATATCAGTTTGATTTCATTTCAACTGATGAAGTTTCATCAGTCTTCTCTCAGTAGAGAATGAGATGTAGATGTGGAGTGGTTTATCAAAGCAAAGAATAGACCTAGACGCTAAAGTTTTGCACAACCACTTCCCCTGCCAGTGGCGGACTCCCTCAGACATCGGTGCGTTGGTGGTTCTTTGTGTCTGGGGATGGGCGTCCAGGTACACACCGGCTCACTCCTTGGCGGCCGCTTATCGGGGCCTGGAGCCTGGGGCTCGCTCGGGCCACTTCGGAGGTGGGGTGCCCCCGGCCTCTCGGCCTGGGGCTCGGTCACTCAGGCACAGCTGGCTGCCGGCGGAGCTCACGGGCGCGTCACTGCAACTCCCCCTGGCTTCTGCTCCGCGGCTGCTGAGTGAGCCCTCATCTGGGACTCTCCTCAGCTCTTACTGGGACAGTGGCGCGGCTGCCCCTCTGTTGGTCTTCCTTGGTCTCTTGTGTTCTGGGGGCCTCTGGATGTCTGGAGTTTTGATCTCCTCCATACCTGCTTCATGCCCTGGAGGACGGGGCTGTGGCTCCCCCACACTCCCTAGCAGATCGTTACATGGAGAAACCTTTGGAATGCAAGCATGCTGATCCACACAGGTATGCACACAGGTGTACACACGGGTATTCACAGACGCGGACTACAGCTTTCTTGGCTGCTGCCTCAAAGCACATTGTGCGCTGTCTATCTTGCGTGCTGCACAATATCGTTTATTATTTAGTATCTACTGATATCTACTGCTAGCTAGTTTATTGTGATGGTGCCGTTTTTTTTTATTATGTTGCTCTTTGTTGTTTGCTTTCTCTTCTGTTTTTTTTCTCCATACAGGTGACCCAGGTGTTTTGTTTTTTTTCTTTCTTCCCCCCCTTCTCACCGTCTCTTCTCCCCTTTGGTTTTCTTTCTCTCCCTCTCTTTCTTTCATTCTTTCTCCCTGTCCTATCCCCCAGTCATGTCTGTCCCGTTTGTAGCAACTGAAAATAAAATAAATTCATAATTATAATAAAGGTCAATCAAATGGACCAATATGGCAAGGCCATGATGATCCACTTGGTAAAATAAATCCTGCTTGGCATCTTTCTTGGCCTTAAGACAACAATTCTGATGGCTAAAGATCCAAACGGGACACAAAAAATAAAATAAAATAAAATAAATAAATAAATAAATAAATAAAGTTTTGCACAACCATGACAACTTAACACTCCACTCGCTGATGAATATTGAACACGAATGATGAATATTTTTTGCCTGTTTGCAAGACCAGAAGTGACATAAGACACTGACTCAAAAGAGAATATTTATCGTTGGGATGGTGAACTTTCCCCTAAAGCGTTCAGTCTATCGCCTTCCTCTGCTAAGAGACTTTCCTCACTATGAATTCAACCATCCAGTTAGATAATTTCATGAGGTTGCTGCTGTCAGCCTTGTCAAACATGAAAAATGAGCTACAGTCTCTGAAAAAGATCCTGGGATGAAAGAAAGGCTCGTAGTAATCGTAGTATGAGTTAAGTTTTCTTTTTACTATTTCAAATGCTACAAGCTTTGGCTTGTTTTGGTGAGGAGAGAATGAGGAACACCAAGAAATATTGTTAAAATCTCCCCAAAACATCTGTAAGTGGACCCTGAGTTAAATGGGTTGGGTTATACACAAACTAGTTTTCCAAGAGCAGAATGAACTGAAGACTACAGCCATGACAAGGTATCCAGATGAAACACCCCAAATGGCTGCTGGACTTTCAGATAAGACTTTTCACAGTTTTCTCACACAGGACTAAGGAGAGTTTTTACTTCTCCTTTTGAAAAAAGAGTAAAGAAAGTAACCATTGAGGCCCATTGAGTTTGACTACTGTCGGCTCCAGTCAACCATGAAATGTGGTTGAAAGGCTATTTAAGTCCAAAAAGGACCGCACACACTTTGGTGCTCGAGGTCTTCACACTAGTCTAGAAATGACCCCTTACCTTCTTTTAACCATAAAAAGTGACAAATTTGGTTGAGAGTTCAAATATATTTTGATATCTTTAAGATCAGAAAACATTCTATCTGTTTTAGTGAGGGGAAATAGGAAAACATGGGAAAATGTTTGGGAAAACCTATCAAGATATACTTTCTATTTGTTCCTCTTGGGTTTCCAAGTAACAAAGACCTTGAATATGATTTTAGAAAGTGAGGTTAGTTTTCGAAACCAGAAAGGACACTCTGGTTCCTACTTTGTGATATCAAAAGCAAGTCAGATGAAAATGGCCCAAACAACAGTTCTCAAGGTCTTCTTGCTAGTTATTCCTCCAAGGCCCTCAGCTTGGCTAAATTTTCTTTTAAGTAGGAAGTCAAATTCATGACATTTCAGTATCTCTTTTGCAAACAGCATTCAGACACTTTGTGTTTTCTTTTGATGGAGGAAGAAATCCAAGCTCCTGGAGAAAACCCAGTGGACAAACATGGTTTTCAAGCTACAGGAAAATTTTGTTGTGATGCAACACTGCTAGCTGCCTGCTAGCTGCAGTAACATACAATAAATATCAATCATATCAATGTTTACAAATCACACATATATCATTGGTGATCATTGGTGAAAAACCTGGATTCTTATCTGCTAGACCATGAGAAACAACCTGTAACCAGCCAGAGAGATATTTACACAGTGAATCTGCTGTCCACTTGTAACAATGACAACTGAAGAAGCTCCTGCCTGGAGGAAGAGCCTGCAAATGCAGATGAAAGCAGGTCACAAGACCAGCTTCCCCTTTCAGAACACGTCAATAAGATGATTTTAGGTTAGGTGGTGGGAGTGGGGTTTTTTGGGTTTGTTTTTTTTTACTGCGCAAATCTCTGCTTCCAAGGTCCACATTGAGCTGTTGGTACTGTATGTTCATTAAGTGAAGAAAAGCACCCCAGGGCTTATGGTTACAGCAATATACCAACGAGAGAAAGAGTCAGCCAACTGCATTAGGTGTCTGTGCAGAAACTTCATAATAAATCGTGCAGCCACACAAATAGCTGGCATTCCATCACAGCAGTCATGTATAAATGGCGCACCTCCCCACATAAAGCTGCATATAGACGGCACTGGTAGCCCCAGCATGGGCCTACCAGTGTTCACCAGCATTATATAAGAACCGAGATAAGGCCACGGAGGCAGGGAAAAGAAATGTGCGCAAGCATCCATCTTAGCTTCAAAATGGAAGCCTTGAACACACCCCCCCACCCCCACCCCCGAACACCACCAACACCAGGCAGCATCAGAAGCACACACCGAGAGGCAGCCCTGAACATTAGGGGAAAATGCTTTTTTCTCTCTTTTTGAGCAGGTGGCTGTGTACTGACTGATCCTGTGTTTATCTGAGAATTATTTGAGCGTCTTTAATATTTCATCACCTCACAAGGCTGGTGTTACAGGGAAAAACATGTTTCCTACCTTCTAATTAATCTTCTCTTCTTGTGAAATCCATGTATCCCACCTTGACCTCCCCCGTACCCTCGCTGCTGGGTAAGATCAAAATGTGAAAAGGCTTTCCGCCCACGGAATCCACAACCGCCGGCACGAGCTCGTCCAGCCAAACGGGTCTCGCTCGAACACCGACAGGTCTGCTGCCCGCGCCCCTTCCCTTCAGAGCCTCATTCAGAAAGAGTCTCTCGCTCCTCTGCGGGAATACACACGCAAAGCGAATATGTGCCGCACTCCTTCGCTCGCAGCGAGTGGAGAGATGTCTTCCATTGAGAAGCCCAAAAAACTACACGGTGGAGGCTGTTTGATGCTCACAACTCGCCCAGACATGAATCAAACAGCACGCTGGCCCGCTGGTCTAAAAACCTACATTAACACAAAAAAGCGGTGACAGAGAGAGAGGGGGGCAGAAAAACATGGCCACGATAAAGTCCAAAAATAGACGGCAGCTTATTCCCTCAGTAAAGCAGCAAAGCAAAGAGCGAGCGAGACAGGGAGAGAGAGAGAGATGCGGGCATCAGCACTTATTCGGGTTGGATGTGCGAGAGAAACGGCGCTCTCTCATTGGCTGCTGCCCGGATGCTGCTGCTGCCGCTGAAGTCGTTCAGCCTATCGCTCTCCGAGGTGCTGAAGCAGCCGGCCAAACGTGTCGAAGCTGCTGCTGCTGTGCTGTGGTGGTGGAGGGTGGCTGCTGAGGATCAGCGCAGTGATTTTTGTGAATCACTTCATCACAGCGAGTGAGGCCCCGTTAACACCGTGTTTGCTAACAAAAATAGCAGATTCACAGGCGAATCCACCTCTTACAGGTACAAAGAAAGCCCCCCCATACACCCACAACGAACACACACACACACACACACACACACACACACACACACACACACACACACACAAACACACAAACACACACACACACACACACACACATTCCACTCACAGGGCTAATACTGAGGGATGTGCTAGTTGCTCTCTGATGTGTTCACTGAAATATGAATGTGTGTGAAGGTTAGACAGAAAGAACTTGTGTTGTATAAATGAGTGAAAGGGGTTGTATAAAGTGCGCAAGCTGAGTAGAAAAGTCCTAAATAAGAACAAGTCTGTTTACCATTTAGTCAGCTGACTCAGTCTTAACCAGCTCCTCTCTCAGAAATAGGGCTGTGTTAAAAAATTATTTTCTCCTTACATACACAATCTACATAAATGTAGCGCCTGGGACTATATTTTCTATTTAACATTCTTAAAGAGACAGAAAGCTACATACATGTTCCCAGTGTGTCCGCCCAGGTTGTGGCTGTCCAGGTCAGGGCTTCTTTGAGTGGTTGAAAAAAAGAAGTCAAATGGACTTCATCCAAGAGGTTTCTTCAGTTCTAAAACCAAATGGTGGAGAGTCCCAGGTATTTAACCCCTAGTAGGGATTGTTCCCATAGTTCCGAGGGTCACTAACCCTATTAATCATGTGAGTCATCACATGAGCCAAGGTGTGAAAAAAGGCGTGGATCTTTATCATCACCGGGATTAAGGGTGAAACCCCAGTAAAGAGATGAGATCTTCCCCCACCTCATCCTGCGCCTGGGAAGGGACCTCAGGACTCCTTAGGTGTTTTGTCCTTGTTTACTGGGATCATGATTTCCTCAGAGCTGAAACTTCCACTCTGATCCTGAAACCACGACTCCTACATTCCTGCTTTCTGAACCGTTTTATCCGTAAGCTGGTTGACATCACTACAACAGCAGGGATGACGTCTCACAATCAGAACCTGGTTAGAAAGCTGAAGCTGGCTCGGTTCACACAGATATTGCTGGTACATTTATTTACTTATTTTTTGCAATAAAAACCATGAAGAGCGTGCTCTTTCCAACTGTGTTACATTGGCCACCCCTTGATTGAATCACAGCAATCTGGCAGACGGCTCAGAACAATCAATGCCCACACGCAATTCAATTCAATTCAATTCAATTCAATTTTATTTATATAGCGCCAAATCACAACAAAAGTCGCCTCAAGGCGCTTCATAGATACAGAGAAAAACCCAACAATCATATGACCCCCTATGAGCAAGCACTTTGGCGACAGTGGGAAGGAAAAACTCCCTTTTAACAGGAAGAAACCTCCGGCAGAACCAGGCTCAGGGAGGGGCGGCCATCTGCTGCGACCGGTTGGGGTGAGAGAAGGAAGACAGGATAAAGACATGCTGTGGAAGAGAGACAGAGGTTAATAACAGATATGATTCAATGCAGAGAGGTCTGTTAACACATAGTGAGTGAGAAAGGTGACTGGAAAGGAAAAACTCAATGCATCATGGGAATCCCCGGCAGCCTACGTCTATTGCAGCATAACTAAGGGAGGATCCAGGGTCACCTGGTCCAGCCCTAACTATATGCTTTAGCAAAAAGGAAAGTTTGAAGCCTAATCTTGAAAGTAGAGATAGTGTCTGTCTCCTGAATCCAAACTGGAAGCTGGTTCCACAGAAGAGGGGCCTGAAAACTGAAGGCTCTGCCTCCCATTCTACTTTTAAATACTCTAGGAACAACAAGTAGGCCTGCAGAGCGAGAGCGAAGTGCTCTAATAGGGTGATATGGTACTACAAGGTCATTAAGATAAGATGGGGCCTGATTATTTAAGACCTTGTATGTGAGGAGCAGGATTTTGATAATTCTGGATTTACGAACAGAAGGAAGCCAAAACAGGAGAAATCTGCTCTCTCTTTCTAGTCCCTGTCAGGACTCTTGCTGCAGCATTTTGGATTAGCTGAAGGCTTTTCAGCGAGTTTTTTGGACATCCTGATAATAATGAATTACAGTGTCCAGCCTGGAAGTAATAAATGCATGAACTAGTTTTTCAGCGTCACTCTGAGACAGGATATTTCTAATTTAGAGATGTTGCCAAATGGAAGAAGCAGTCTTACATATTTGTTTAATATGTGCGTTGAAGGACATGTCCTGGTCAAAAATGACTCCAAGGTTCCTCACAGGTTACTGGAGGCCAAGGTAATGCCATCCAGAGTAAGAATCTGGTTAGATACCATATTTCTAAGATTTTCAGGGCCGAGTACAATAACCTCAGTTTTATCTGAATTAAGAAGCAGAAAGTTAGCGGCCATCCAGGTCTTTATGTCTTTAAGACATTCCTGCAGTTTAACTAATTGGTGTGTGTTATCTGGCTTCATGGACAGATAGAGCTGGGTGTCATCTGCATAGCAGTGAAAATGTATGCTATGTCTTCTAATGATCTGCCTAAGGGAAGCATGTATAATGTAAACAGAATTGGTCCTAGCACTGAACCCTGTGGAACTCCATAATTAACCTCAGTGTGTGAAGAGGACTCTCCATTTACATGCACAAACTGGAGTCTATTAGATAGATATGATACAAACCACTGCAGTGCAGTACCTGTAATACCTACAGCATGTTCTAATCGCTCTAATAGGATATTATGGTCGACAGTATCGAATGCTGCACTGAGGTCTAGCAGGACAAGCACAGAGATGAGTCCACTGTCAGAGGCCATAAGAAGATCATTTGTAACCTTCACTAAAGCTGTTTCTGTGCTGTGATGAGCTCTGAAACCTGACTGAAACTCTTCAAATAAACCATTCCTCTGCAGATGATCTGTTAGCTGTTTGACAACTACTCTTTCAAGGATTTTTGATATGAAAGGAAGGTTGGAGATTGGCCTATAATTAGCTAAGACTGCTGGGTCTAGAGATGGCTTTTTGAGTAAAGGTTTAACTACAGCCAGCTTGAAGCATGCTCCTTAGAGCTATGGCCTTCATCACAACCCTCCTGCTCATCAAAGCACTGATTACCGGAAACCCCCCCCCCCCCCCCCCCCCATCCACACACACACACACATTGCACTTACACATACAGATCTGACGCCGCTGCTCTTTTTTGGCTAAGGAGAGTGTTCACCTAAAATGTCATTTAACACTTAAGTAGCATTAAACGATATCTAAAATTGGAAACTATTATGAAAATAAACAGTGACTTCAGTGAAATTAGGTTTAAGGGTCTGTCAGCACAATTAATCAAAGAAGAAGGCATTATTTTGATGAAGTCAGTGAACAGCAAAATGCTTTAAAAAAAAAGGAAAACTAGTGTAACTCTGAAAGAAGATAATGAGACAATAATCAGTTTGTCAGTTCAGCCAATCACTACTCAGATATTTCCAAAATGTACTTAGTTATGACGATATTTAAAAATGACAACCAGCACTGATCAGGAGGAAAATCACAAACCCTTTTGCAGCCACTTCCCTGACACTCTGCAGCAGACACCAAAACCCGATGCTTCCCGCAGTCTCTCTCCAGATGAAAGTCAGTGTAAAATCAGCCTGTACAGCTGTTTTCCAACAGCAGTAACACTTTTTCATCCATGATCCAGACTCCGTAAAAAGGCAGTGAGCTGGAAAATGGATTTATCTGAATGGCTCTCTTCCCAAATACAGCTCTACCCACGGGCAACAGAGGCCACTGAGTGGGACACGAGGAGGGACTTTTGTAAAGCTTCTTAAAGAGGAAGCTTTATCTAAATCCTGCAAAGAATAAGATACACAGTAAAGCACAGCTGATGGGTGACTGTATGAATATATGACAAATAAATCAATATTCAGATTTATGGATCAGATGCTTAATGATTTTCAATATTCTTAAAGGTACAATGAAGCACAGTGGGGATACAGTATTGATCAGCAATCAGTGTGTTGCTGTTGAGCTTATGCTTTGTGGCATGATGCATTCAGGATGCCGAAACAAAGCAGTATTCAGACTCACCTCTTGCAACATCGTGTCAACTCTCCCTGGTCCTTTGTCCTGTGTCTTGTGGTATAACCCTCAGCTTATTCCACTAAGGTTACAACTTACAATTGTCTTTAATTACAGTTTTTTCAGTGAACACAACTTTTTTTAAATTACCAAACTGTTGCCAGATACATTTCTGCATCCTGGTTGGTTCCCAGTTGGCCCAGCGACATCTTTTTTTCCTTTCCTGTGGCCCCGTAGTTAACCTGGCAATGAGCAGAAGTAATTTTAGGATTTAAATGAGTGTAGGAGACTGAGGATGAGACAAGACTGTGTGTCAACAGTGTGTCAACAGCTGAATAAATCAAATCACTTTTATTGTCACATCACATGTGCAGGTACATTGGTACAGTACATGTGAGTGAAATTCTTGTGTGCGAGCTTCACAAGCAACAGAGTTGTGCAAAACGTAAAACAAGCAAAATATAAGAATGGCTAAATCTGAGACTAATAAATATATGTACAATATATAATAGTATATGCATTACTGTATAACAGATCAGGAAAGCTTTTAAAAATTTTAACATTTGATTGTTTTGCTTTGTTGAATTAGAAATATTATATTTAACTTATTATTGTTATTATTATTTATTATTTCAGGTGTAATTCATTAATTTTGTTTGTGGTATAGTATCTTAAAGGGTCAAAGCACCCCTCCAATAAAACCTCTGAAATATCGTCAGTTTCTTACTACAGTAAAAACATTTCTTTATATTCGTTTTTTGGTGTTTTCTC